TCTGCAAACACTGGGCAGCTGATGTGTTCCCCTCCTCCCCGCTCAGCTACCCTCTGTGTTTTGGGTTCAGAGTGAAACTGTCCCAGACTCAGGGACCTCGGGAGAGCAGGACTTGGGAAACACGAGGAGAGACACTGAGGGCACGAGCGTATTATCAGAAAGAATTTGAGTGCTCCCAGCAGCTCAGCAGCAAATTAGAAAGTTTTGGCTCCCAAGAATGAGTTGTGTTGTTTGTTCCTGCATACTGCAGCTGCTCGTCCCTCTCCCTCCCCACCCCCCTCCTTTGGGTGGTTTATTACACACAAGCTACTAATGAATGGGAGCCGCTGTTTTACAGTACACCACACTTACAGGACTTATCTCTAGGCCTACCACAGATTTGACTGATCAACAGCAGGGCACCACCATCATAATTCTTCCTAGAAACAGGAGGATAAAAAGGGGTTTGTTGGAGGTTGGCTGTGTCTGCAGAGAATCCTGCCTGCAGGGCCTGCTGATGCCATCGCTAGCTGCTATGGTCTTTGGCCTAATAAGGTACAGAAACAAAGATTGTTCACTTGTTCAAGAATACTAAAGTACCCAAGTGACGGAAAGTGGAGGCAGCAGGGCACACATCCAAGTGGGATTAAGGCCACAAGTGCAACGTTACAGGGCTGACTGGGTGGCAGAGGGAATATCTGCCTCTGAAAAAAAAAAATCCAGTTCAAACATAATTTATAACATGTCACTCACAGTCAGAGGTGGCTGTCATTAAGAGTTAAATGTTGCATTGTGTTCAACTTATTCCGATAAGAATTCTCTAATCTGCTTATATGTTATCATAACTCACGAATAACTGGAGCGTGGGCATGGGGAGGGGGGGAGGCTGTCTGGGAAAGGATGGGACCCAGGCTGGGAGGCAGAAGTGCTGGAGCAGAGCTGGACTGCTGGGACCTCAGTGTAGAGTACTCACAGTCTCCAAGGACTCTGCAGTGAGTCTTAAAGCCTGCCAAGCCCATAATACTTGTCAAAGTCCAGACTCTACTTGGACATATGTACCTTTTTTTAGTTTTATGCACTTCTCCCAGATAGGGAGCCAGGCAGTAACACCTAGAGGATCTAAAATGGTGCATTCAGCCTCTGTTCAGCTGGTCTGTACAGTAGGGCTGTCTGTGGAGGATGAATTCCCCATAGCTGGAAGGCTTAAGAGGTGGCATTGAAGGAGAAAAAAATGGCCAGTGTCGTAGCCAAGTAAAAAGCCCTAAGTTAATACTGCTCACTGGAAATGGGACCAGGAACCCAACAGAACAGCAGTGAAGCAGCTTCTTTGGGGACAATATTAAATGCTGCTGACTGGCTTGGCAGTTTGGAAGCAGTAGGATTGTTTTCTCTGGCTTAGGGAAACCCAGCAACAGACCCCACTGAAGTTCAAGGAGCTAATTCAGGCCCAATCCTACTAAACTTTACAGGCTTACTAGGAAAACTTTTCCCTACATTTTTTCCCTACCTCATTTTAGGTAGAGAGAGAAAAACCTGTGTGGAATAAGAAGAATTAGAGTCATAGGATCCTGTCCATTCTTACCAGTCTCTCAATAGCAGCAGATAGCAATTACCCACTGTAATTCCCAGTTAGAAGTGTTTCTCTAGTGCAACTCGTTCAGAAAGCAGTAGTCTGTTTACTCACTGGCTTGGGCTACCTGGATCACATTACACCTGCTGGGGCTGCGAGTAATGCTGGAGGTTCATTTTAAACTGGGACTGTTGCTTTCATAAAGCCTTTAATGTCATAGGCTCTGGCTGTGTTCGAGATCTCACTCATCAAGCCAAGTCTTAAGGAGTTTGGGCTGAGACATCCCAGTCCCCCATTCCTCTGTCACTCAAGTCAAAGATCTCAGCTTTTCTGCGGTAGTTCAGTACCTGCTCTTCACGCCAAAACAGCCATCCCTCGACTTTACACAGTCACTGATATAACCTTCTCTTGGCTTTTCCAACTGCATTTTTTAGTTACAGACACCAGGGCCTTGTGTCGTATCTGGCCCTGACTGCTCTGCCAGGTGCCGGAGGATGAGCTACAAATGTGAGGGTACAGTGAGTCTGGAAGGAAATATTACTCACTAATAGCCCCAGGGGAGCAGTGAGCAGTCTCTGCACAGCTTTACCCTGGATGGGAACAAGATAGAGGTCACTGGAGTACCAGTGATGGAAGGGCTTCAAGAGTTTCCATGCCCCCAAACCCTGGATTGCCAGTTTGCTCTTGGTGCCTCTCCATAGCTTTCAAATTTAGTCCAGTCAAGGGAGTAGGAACTGAATGTCTTCCCTGCTTCCCTGAAACATCATTTTGGTATGTCATCTGTACCTGGCCTGACAAAAGACCAAGGGTCTTCAATTTTCCATGTTATAGAAACACTGTAGCAAGTATCCAGTTTTCTGAGTACCAATCTGAAATACAAACATCTTACCTGCTACCACAGTGCTGTCTTCACACGTGCTTGAAAGCTGACAGGTTAATCACAGTGAGCTCTTGGTGTCCAGAGGTGGCTGCTTCGTGTATGCCCATGGGATGCTGCAGGACACTGGAGCAGGGATGTGGAGGCTACAGGGGCTGCACAGTGTGTGTGCAGACACCACATAATGCCAGAGTGCATTTAAGTTTGTAGTCTCTACAAATCTAAGGAGCTGATAACTTCAAACCTCTGTCCTTTCAGAGAGCAGACACTTCACTGTAGCCACCTCTCCCCGCGGTGAAACAGCGGATGGACAAGATGGGAGCTGCATCCTCCCATTCCTCCCATCCAGCCACAGCAGCATCTGGAGCACACCTACACGTGGGAGGTGGACACACAGAAATGTATCTGAGGGTGGCTGTCCCCACGGGGGGATGTGTTTGGCCCTTGTGCAGCCTTAAAGGTGTGCATGTTCAAATACATTTGTCTGGATGCAAGTTATGGTAAACAAGCAAAAAAAAAAAAGTTTAAACACAGATGTAACTGGTGTGTGAAGACATGTTTCACCCGGCTCTGACCCTCTGAGTAGAGGCGGGTAGCAGATTAACTATGCAGCTCAGAGACCGTAAAGGCTTGCAGAGGAACAATTAGGCTAGAATTTGCATTTCATGAAATTGAACCTTTTATAAAACTTACAACACATCTAATGACAAAGATTTCTTCAAATAAGTATTTCCCTCTGATCTTTGTCACGTGGGGTTTGTAGCATCTTGCCAGTGTGTGAGAACCTAAAAATGTAAGAGAATATTTCAGAGAAAAATGAAGCTCACTGGTTTATCTTTACCATCTGTGTGGACTGTAAACAGAGAGAATAAATAAATAAATACTAAAAAATACATTTGTTTTAAATAAATGTGAACAAAGGGTTTGACACATTTGCAGTATGTAATACTGCTTTTAAAACATGTTTTTAACCACCTCACACGTTCAATTAAATACAGAAAACTCTCCAGGTTATATTTGCATTCTGGAAGAGCAGCTACAAAAGAAAGTGTAAGTGCAGCAAATCATTCTGAAAACAAACTGATTTGAAGATAGTATGAGTTCTCCTTGAAAAGCTGCAGCACCACTGACTTGTAATATTACTTGAAAAAGCTGCAAGTATCTTATTTTTCCTCATAAAAAAGACCCACTTTGGGAAGGACAGACTGACAGTTTGGTCTACACTCCAAGAAACTATGAGAAAAAAATCACTTCTAGCAGTATATTTTCAGTTAGGTCTCTTCTTTTCTCCAATATTCAGGGAAATTTCTAATGCAGTTAAAAGTCTTTACTTAAAAAAAAAAAAAGGCAGCAATAAATGATGGAACAAAACTGAATCCCTTTTCCAGGCAGTGACACTGCCACTTTAATAGTTTCCCACTGTACTTGGGGTTAGCTGCCAGAGAAGCCTTGTTCAGCCTATTTGGGGCCCCCATGAAATGCTGCAAGCGTTACTGAAATGAGCACTTGTCTTTTGTTGAGCTGCATGCTAGCACCATACAGTGCTGAGCTGATAAATCCACTTTTTCTAACACAAGCATTTTTCAAACAAAACTACCATGAGACTGATGAGTAATGCCAGCTTGCCAAAAAAAAAAAAAANAAAAAAAAAAGGCACACACCCCTCGCAGCCGCTGCTGACACTGACAGCTGTTAAATTCACATATTCACAAAATGAGATGAGTTACATAACTGGAAATTACAAGAGCAACTCACCAGTGAGAGGAACTGCTAAGCAAGGCATCGCTGGGGCTCAGGAAGGAATAGATCACACATTTCAATGTGTGCTGGCCCACTAATGACCACGACAAAGCTGAGCGCTGCCTGGAGCACACAAAGGTTACCGGGCACTCCACACCGCGCATCATCAGGCTGTTTGTAGTTTGTTCAGGGTTGGGGTTTTTATTCTGCAAAGTGAGGATGCATGTGGAAAAAAAAAATATACCAGTGCTGCTATGTGTGTTACAAACACAAGAGTAGTTTAAAAGCCCAAATGTCACTTTATGCAAGGCATGACACAAAAGCCTGACTCTAAAAGGCTTATCAGCAAGTCTTCAGCAGCTAAAAGACAGCAGTGGAGAAGGTGAAGTGTTGGGTAGAGTTAGGTTTGACAAAACCTAGGTGGGTTTTAATTTGCATCAAATCTTTCAGGGATATAAAAGCACTTTGCAAAGTTATTATTATTATTCTTATTTTATGCTGAGCTCAGGAGATGGTCTGTACTCTGCTGATGCAGGGCAGGAAGGCAGTGACAGAACGTCACCCCACCACCAGATCACCTGCCTTTATTTCAGTATCTATTTCTAGATTGGCTTGAAAAACTTTGACAAAAGCATCTGATTCTGGAAGAGCCGTGGGGCAGATGATGGAGGAAAGGCATCATTAAGGGCTCCTGAGAAATGACAGGCTGTGGAGCTGGTGTAACAGTGCAGAAGGAGCAGGGAGGGAAGATGGCAATGTTTGCAGAAGCTGCCAGACCCCCACGTGTTGCTGAGATTGCCAGAAATGGGGTTCTGAAGAGGGCTGATCTGGACATAAATCAAAGCACAAAACAATGCACGTCTGTATGAATAGCAACAAAAAAAATCCTGTAATTAAACGACCAGTAACCTCAAGCTAAATTTTTTACATCCAAAATAATCTATGCTTCCATTTCGTCTGCTCATGGCTGAATTCATTCTTGTTATATAGTAAGAGGTTTTGGGTGGTTTTTTTTATAAAAAGGATTCAACCTGGTAGAAAAACAGCATATAAAAGCTTTTTTATAGGCAAATTTATCAAATAAGAACTGAACATGAAATTACTAAACAAATGCATAAAGTTCCATGTGCTTTATCATGTTACCTGTAGTAAACTAGGTTAATGCAAAATCAAGATGCACTGACAAATCATGGGGAAAAAAGAAGAAACACAGAAATGAGTGTTTTGAGAGTGATGTCACCTAAGCAGGGGTGTAGGTACAGTCTGCTGCGTAGGAGAGCAGTGAAAGCATAAACAGAATACTAGATGTGCATTAAGCCACAAACAGAAATAGCTGTGAACAATGGCAAAGTCTGGTTGCTCTTGGAACCTTAATGTGAGGAAACATCCTTATAAAAGATGAGACAATAGCAGGTCTATAAATGGCAGTCCTGTAGGCAGGGAAGGATTAAGAACTTCCTATAGATCCTAAGGTATCAACATATATTGTAACCCTTTCACAAACGCTTCTGCAAGTGCTTCTCTGACTTAGTCCACCCAGAATAGGAAAAAGCATCAGAATTAGTTTGGCTTTTCCTCTGGATACCAGCCACACACACCCAAGGCAGAGAGGAAGAAGTAAAAGGAGAAGGAAGTGCAGCATTTGTTCAGGATGTTTTGCCAGCACACCTGTAAGTCCCAGCGTTCCCTTGCTCTCCCTGCTTCCTCCAGAACACACAGGCCTTTTTCCAACCCTGATCTGGGCCATGGCAACGTGCTTCTTTCTACAGCAGTGCTTCTCCATCTCTGTGAAGTGCTGGGAAACGGGGAGTTTAGACACCAGCAAACACAAACCAGTCCAAGGCTTCAACGTCCATTTATTACTTCTATTTTCTTTGTTTTATTTTGAAGTCAATTTTTTTTGTTGCTGTTTTGTTTACTTGCAGGGGTAATAAAATGCATTAATTTAATTGGGCATGCATTTAATCTGGAAACATTAACAAAATGCCTTCTAATGCCTCATGGCCCATGGGCTGAGATCTGTTCCTGTACAGCAAATATCCTCTGAGCTTTCAGGCTAGTACATTACTCTCTGATCACAGATTCTCTTGCAAATTGTCACATATTCTTCTCATAAAAATTTTAATAGAAGACTATGAGCTATGATTACTATTTAATACAATTTCACAGACCACCCGCAGCAAACTTGCCAAGGCCTCATGGATTACCAGTGATCCATAGGATAGGGGCTGGGAACCACCACAGAGTTTGGTAATTCTGACTGTTTATCTCTAGCACTGCCTTAAGCCCATTCATATACATCACTCCACTGAAACTAAACTAGCCTGCTCTTCAGAAAGTATTCCAAGGAATCAAATGAAGCTGAGTGAGCACTTCACTGCGCTGACGTGGAAGAGGAAGAACAATTGCCCCACTGCAACTACTGCTACCACCCCTGGATGTGGATGAACAGCTGAACACTGTGAAGAGATACAAAACATGCAAGTCCAGGACCTCTTTCAAGTGATGTTTGTAGATTTGCAGATGATAATAAATTCCATAGGACCTACAAAAAGTCAGCACTGAAGAATCACAGCAAGTCCAAGCTCTTGAGGTCTCCTCATTGTCGCCTCTGCCAACAGTTCCTCATTCCAAGACAGATGCTTTGGGGCAAATTTGGGGTAATTTTCATTCAAAATTCCAGTGGAATAGTTGTATCATCTGTTTTAGAAGTGATCCTCTGTTTGTCAGGTAGAACTTGGTCACTGAATGTTGACATTACAAAGACGGTATATTTAAAAAAAATCTGTTAAAAATTCTGCAGATACTTTTTGAAATACTGAAGATTCATCTTCCAGCTATTCACAGTCTTATTTTTAAATGTTTTTTTCTTAAAAACAAGAAAATGTGCTGTTCCTTACTGAGGGCCGTAGGCTCCATCATGCCAATCTCAGTCACACAAGGCACTCCCCTGAATCAACACGCTTCCTAATGGCAATAAATTGTTTTCAACAGAGCTCTGTTAAAAACCACTGACAACACAAAACTATGATTAGCATTCAGGGTAGAATTAAATAGTGTCACCATTGATATCTGCATGTGCAGGTGTTGGTCCTAAATTGTTTTATGGCACAATTCAGCCCCTATTCTTATTCCTCTTAATCTTCAAACAACCGCACTGGAGCAGATTACGCCAACCTTATGAGAGGTAGGACCTTGGCCAACAGACATCCATGGATTTGGAGGGATCTTCTGCAGAGCAAGGTGTTAATTGCAAGTAAATGTCAGATACTCTTGCTGTTGTAAAATGTGGGACTTCTCAGCAGTACAATGATATTTAACCCATAGTGCAGATGCTCTTCCTGAACTGTGTTTCATAGACCCATCTGTGCAGCCCCTCCAACCATGGGGGAACTGCTCAAAAGGGAAGTGACTGGAAGAGGGACATCAGAGCCAGGCCCTCTCCTGCGAGGCACAAGAAGTGTTTGGGCAAGATTCTTACTGGGATAAGTTCACACAACTTTTCTAAGACTGGGAACAAATACTGAAACAATTTTCTTCCTTCAGAGCAGTTTTAAAGTCACTTAAATTTTGAGAGCACTTTCCAACTGGGAGACTGCTCCTCAGTGTAGTTCCACTTACTCATATGGTGACCAGCAACTACTCACGTGAGCAATGTGTGAGGGTTTGTAGGAGTGGGAACAAAACACAAGAGCAAATCCACTTGCTCAGAAGGGCAAGCTTCTAGATTTGATAAAAAAATCAGAGGTCTGCAAAAGCTTCTCCCTCCCCCAGATAGTTTATTGCTTAAAATCCTAGAGGAAAAAATATCACATTCTCTATAAATATGATCTTAGCATGATCAATTTTTTTTCCTACGAAATTACATAATCAAATTTGTGGCTTGTCTATTTGTATTGCAAACCTGTAAAGGAAAGCTCTGTGAAACTCTCACACTTTCATTCCACACTATATTCTGGAGGTTACTTAATTTCCTATTTTAAAAATAAAATTACTTGGATTAAGAGACTTTTGAATCTTAAAAGAATGCACGTATTAGGGAAATTACTACCAGAAATAAATAACCCACTTTATTAAGCAGTCTCCTAGTTTTTATAATATTAAGGAAAAACCCCATACTTTATAGACATCTAATTTAACACACATCAGTCAGTTTCGTTTGCAAGCTCAAAATCCAGAGGTAAATAAAATATTCATTTGTTTTGGAATATGTAAAGTATTAATTTTTCATATATTAATGCACTGAAGTACTTGATACAATATTGTTAGGGAAGGATAAAATAGTTTCCAGAGGGGTTTACTTAAGGAATGGTTACTGCAAATAAAAACTTTCAACTAACAAGGATTCTTAAAATAGTTTTTTAATATGCTTTTAATGACCTCTACTCCTCATACCTACCTCCTTGCTTCCCAAACTGTTTGTACTGTCCCCAATAACACTCAGTGGAAAGCTGTCGTTCCTGGCTAAATCCTTACTTAGGTTGGATGCTATGCCTCCGTTAGACAGGGTCACAAGGTCACAATCGATTTTGGAGGCCACCTGGAGAGTCCAGGCCGTGAACTGACTCAAAAAATTTATATCAGAGCTGGAATGGTCCACCTCCCAGGGCTCAGCCTGTGCTAACACCCCAACCGCAGGATGGAGCCTGCCAGGCCCAGCTCAGAGAGAGGCCAGAGTTGTTGACCCCGTTAGCTGACCTCTTCAAACTTCAGGAGAATTTTTCTGGCAGTTACCACGGTGACTGGGCACTCCAAGCTTATCCTTCTTACTGAAAAAAAAAAAAATTAAGAAGAAAAAAAATGTTAAAATCTACCTCGTAGGGATATCTCTCAAGAATCACATACGTAAATGTTTTAATTGTTTGCTTCTCTCCTTGGGCTGCTCTGGCTCTAACTGGTATATCTGATGTGAACACCAAGAAAGCAGTTTGGCTAAAAACATTTCAACTTCTGAAAAAATAATGCTCAGTGGATTTAACGAGTAGCATTTCTAGTATCTGCCAGTGATCGCAAATGACACACTAAGAGGTTTATTGTCAAATAATATTTATTTTTCTTTCTGCATCTTTCTCCAAATTACTGCCATTCCTTATTGAATTGAGAACAAACTGAGAAAAGGCTCAGGGAGAGGATTCTACGCTGCATTTGTCTTTTTTCCTCTTGAAAACTATCTGCCTGATGAAACATTAAGTATGCAGCAATATATTGCTTTGGGCTCTTAAGAAGAGACTGCATAACCTATTTAATGTACCATGAAATATTATTTAAGAGGAAAAAGCAAAAAAACCCCAAAAGTTGTCAGACATCATTACTGTTGTTTTTTTCAGGCACTTTGAACACTAATCATTTCACACATAAGATTTAGCAGGTAAGCACGGTCTCGTGATGCTGACAGAAAACACTTGAAACACATCAAGGGATCACAGAGCACACTAAGTAAACAAGAAAACAAAGTGCACTCTTCATTTCTAAAACAATAAGGGGAAAACTGGTGCTTCTTAATTTCATAGCAATCATGTATTATATACAAAGCTTTTATGTAAATTTTCTTCATGCTTCTATACTTGAAATAGCATCTCGCAAGAGGGAGCACTGAAGAGTACACTGCATTATAGCTGGAAAAATCCTACTTAAGGGCTCCTGATGGCAAACTGTCAATCAGTATTTCCCATTTGTTATGAACTGCTCATTTCTGGAGTACAGCTAAACAGAGATTTAATGATTGAAACTTTAATGGCATTTTGTCTCACACATGGTTCTGACGTATCTTCTGTTGTTCGAAGGGTTAAATATGAATATTCAAACTGTTGCTCAGCCACTGCTCTGCTCCTCCTGGGCTTTTCCACTGGCGGTGCTGAGATGGCAGAGGGGACCGAGCTGCTGAGTTGCCTCTCATGGGAGGAGATCACGCAGACCCTGTGGGTGAAAAAATAAAGCAAGAGATTTGGGTATGAAAAGCAAAAAAGCACATTACTGATCTTTTGTTCCAGATTTATTTTTCATTTCTGCTGGAAGGATGAGAAAAATTCAGTCCAGCATATGTATGTTAACTAACATTAAAAAAAAAAGTGAATACAGACACAGTACAGGACTCTTTCTCCTTTCAAGACTGGTTCAATTACTTTGAAATATCATATGCCTCGATGCTAAATAGATACATAGATGCACGATAATATTATTTAGCAATTTTGAATTAAACATGAAAACAATTTAAACTAAAAACACTTAAAGATTGTTTTCCTATTATTAAGGATGTGTTAGAAAAGGGCTAAGCCTCTCATTAGGAGATGAATTTTTTCATTTGTGTTTTTGTTACGGCTATACGAGATGGTTTTATGTTTTCCCTTTTTTACTCTGCATGAAATAATGTAAATCGAAACAATCAGGTGACTGATTAATAGCCTAGTGGGGAGAAAAGATCTGTTTGTTGCATTTTATTTTATTTTTTGCATTCTTTTTGAACAACACTGTAGATATAAGCATGTGCCTTTCAATTAGATACCATGATTTATGAAGTCATGCTCAGGGCTAGCCAGGTTGTTGACTCAGATCAGAGCTATGATGCCAGCTCATTCCCTGGTGACAAACACTGACTGTCCTTCCCGCAGCCAGGCACCCCTGGCAGCCTTATGAAAAGACCTTGTGGTTGGCAGAGCACTGAGCAGGAAATGAGGTCCTCTCCGGTTTGGGACAGAGATGACTGGAGTTACAGAAAGCTGTAAAGCAAAATCAGCGTCTCCTGAGTCACAGACTTTAAGCTCTAGTGGACCCCACAGTTCCCAGTGTGACCTGGCCCACCAGCACTGCATCGCCAGCACACCCCCCAGCCTCCCACTGATTTCCCAGGGGAGCACTCTGCAAACTGCAAGTCCATCATGAGATGGGACCAATTTCATGTGGGAGAGGGGGAGACAGAGCACTACACCCCAACCAGGTTCTGGTGCTCAGCACCCTCCTCAGGGGACACTTTTCTCCCTCATCTCCACTAGAGAATTTTTGGCACATTTCAAGATGCTTTTCTAACAATATCACAAGGCTTTTATCTTGGCCTATAGCTTAGGGATCTTTTGTGTGGCCTACACTCTTCTAGGAATTGCACATATAAATCACTGGAAAGCAGGAAATCCTTAAGACCTAGTGGGAAGCTGTATACTATGTTTGCTTCTTAGCATAGACAGCTGCAGACCACAGAGCATCTTACCATATAGGTACTACAGCAACCCAGACACCTGGACTCAAAATGGGGGAACTCAGCCCCCTGTTTCAAAGATCTCTGAGTCATAAGGGAGCTTCTGGAAAGGGGTTGGAAACTCTTACTGAATTCATGGGGTAGAACTCCCTGATGTTCTCTGTGTAACACTTTCAGTCCGAATTCCCTCAATGCAATTGAAACAATAATATTTAGACCATTTGGGGATGAGATTATTGCTTTAATAAATTGGGGTTTTATTGGTTCATTGTGGCAAATAAGCCCCCGATTGATTTTGCTCCTAATCAGCATGGAGAATGCATTCCGCTGTAATTAAATCCCGTGTAACTGGGCACTCTGTGTTCACTTGTCTCTTCGCTTGCAGTGGCATGAGATACAGCACATCAAACGCTATACTCTACACGATAGGCACCCTGCCAGCCCGGGGAACGATGATGCTGGCCCGCCTTTAGTGTGCTTACAAATGAGTATAGCTGGAGCACGTACGGAGCAGCGGGTATCGCTTGGGATACGCAGAAAGTTATTAGAGGAGGAAGATGGCCAGGGATAAGGTCTTTTCTCTCGAGGAAGGTTTGAACCCTCTCTCTGAAAAGGCTGCGAGAGACGGCCCCCCTCCCCTTCCCGCAGGTCCCCAGAGCCCCCGCCGCGACTCCTCCGCCGCCGCCCGCGGGGCTCCGGCCGGGGCGCCCGGGGCAGCGGGGTCCCCTCCGCCGGCGGGAGCGCGGCCGGGCTGCCAGGCGGGCAGTTTTGAAGAGTCGATCTTCATAATACAAATCCCCCGGCTTCGCCTCCCCGCCAGCGGCGCGAGCCAGCTTTTTAATTGAATCCCGGGGATTTGGCCGCGGCCGAAAGCCCCGGTTCGGGCCCCAGCGCAGTGGGTCCCCCCTCCCGAGAGCGGGACCGTCTCTCGAGGGCTGATCTCTCGCCTCTAAAACCCAGAGAAGGGCGGGCTCCGGGGGCCTGGTTGAGCCCCCCGCCCCGGGCCCCCGGGAGACAGAGCGCGGGCTCGGCGCACCCCGGGGCTGGGGGCGGCGGGGGGGCCGGGGGGCAGCTGGCAGGGCCGCGGCTGCTCCCGCCTCTCGCCCGGGCAGCGCTTTAGGGGGGGCTCAGGCCGGATCCTGCCCATTCTATACGTTAATGCTCTTTTCTCTCCGGCTGCAGGGAAGCAGGCCAGCGGATAATTACCCCTCACTGCAATCCGCAGAGCTGGCCTAATCCGAAAGCTCAAGTGCCCGTAAGTAAAACTTCAGGAAAAGTTATTGAAACTGACAAATACAGGGTGACAAATAATCAATAAAAGCCCAGTGCCACATCCTTTATTGTTTCCAGGCACTAACAGCAAGTAATGAAACCTCGGCGAGGACAGGGGAGGGAGCAGCAGGGACCGGGCGCTGGGCTGGCTCCTGGAAAGCCCCCACTGTAAGAAGCCCAGGGAAGGACCTGGCAGCAGAAGGGGGACGATCCCGTCCCCCTGGGAGAGAGGAAAATGTCAACCACCCCCCTCGACACCCCTCTCTCCCCCAGGTCCTCCCTGCTGCCCGGTGGCGGGGCCGGGGCGCTCCAGGCTGGGCGAGCCCGGGAGGCGCCTGTCCGGCCGGGAGCTGCTGCCCGGACCCGCGCGCAGGGACGTCCCGGAGCCCGGTGCCACTCGGCAGCCTCGGGCCACGCACCTATTTCACGCACCCGCACAAAACCCCAGGCCCTGTAATCTGAGTTCTGAAATATATAACACCCCTGGACACCCAACGCGCTGCTTCTCATTAGCATCTCGGCCCTGGATTTTCCACGCCGCAGTTTCTAAAGTTTCAGCGAAGGACGCTGGGCTAGATAAATCCGTGCTGTCGTTTCTCTCCCTTTCTGTCTCTCCGAATTAAGTTCTGATCTATCAGTTTAAACACTGGCCAGAAAGTTGATTCACTTTCTGTTAGGATTTCGGGTTAAACCGGGGGCTCCTCCAGTGTCTTTAAGCTTTTGAGCTGTGTAAATGAACTGCAGTGTCACATAATCGATGGGGAAAACTCAGCTGTCACAGATACGAAAGCAGCCTTCTGCCACAGCAATAACGTGATTTGGCATTTCAAAGTTTGGAAACGTGCTGTCTGCGCGTCCGGGGCTCGAGGAGGAAGAACTGAGCAGAAGAACGGGGGCGAAGCTCCGGGGCAGGCGGGGGGACAACCCCCAGCCCCGGTGGCCCACAAGCCCGGCAGCCCCAAGCCCCGGCGCCCTGCACCGCGGCACCCGCTGCCGCTCCACTGCCGCTCCCTCCCTCCCCGACACACGCTGCGAAAGTTGTTTCCCAACTTTGGCGTTTGGGGAGGGTTGACCCAGAACAAATCTCAGTGTCTCGGTGGCCTTTCCAAAGCGGCCGTGCCCCCCCGCCCCGAGCCTGCGGGACGTGCCCATCTGGAGCACGCACCGTGAGAGCAACTGTGCCGCGTACAGCCACAGCGGCCATCAGTCACTAAAAGCCACACGCTTCAGTGGGCCGAGGATAAAACGAAGTCCTGGTGACGCCTGGTTAAACCACTGACCCTCTTGCGAGGGCTGGAGAAGGGGGGGAGGCGACCCCCTCCCGACAAGCCCAGCTTTGGGGGGCGATCCCGCAGTGCCACTCACCCCGGAGCCGGCAGCGCTATCCCCAGGGGGACTCAGCACAGCCTTTTCGGGGTGTCTCACAGGGAGATGAGGGACGGGGAGGGCCCCGGGCAGAGCCCCCCACCCGGCCGTGCCCCTGGGGCGACAGCGGGGCCGGCTCGCGTGGGCACAGGGTTCCCACTGAAATGTTTATTTTTATATCAGCTTGGGTGGAAAAACCAACCCACGGGCAGGGTGTGCTCTAAGCCGCGGGGTAACCGCTGCCCTCGGCCCCTTGTCGCTCTGCACCCCCGATTTACTCTCACACAAGGAAAACAACTTACACAGCATGTTCAGATGCTTTCTGGAAGGGGAGGGCTTTAGCTTCAAATTAGGAAGCTCTCTCAGATGAACGATAAATTCCCCTTTGGTCTATGGTGTTTGATCATATCTTTGTGGTTTTGTCCTCACCACAAAGGGCCCCGTAGGCTGAACCAAGAAACAGGATTTCAGATAGTTTGATTTTACATAAGGAAACTGTTGCATTTGTAATATCATAAGACTCTAAAGGGAAAAATAAAACCTCTGTAGCTGAGACAAGGAGTGTGCCTAAGTGCCACTACATTTCAATCCCGATCTGGATATAATTTAAGTCTCCTTTGGCTTACAGTAATATACTCTCCAACCTTGAGGCTATCCAAAGGGGGGATTTAATGAGGACGAGTTTATACACTTATATAATTTAGAGGTTTTGCTGTAGCTGTAAAATGACAATTGGTACATGTGTAGTGCAAAAGAGCTGAAATCTCATCCAGGAACCAAGTTGGCTATTTCTGAAGGAGCTGTCATTTCCAGCAGGGGGGCACAATGAGAAGGCCAGGAGCGATGGAGCTCTGATCTCCACCAAGGAGAGATAACCACCTGATTAAAATGGGGCTCTTGTTCCCTCGTTACTCGATCGTCGTGTGAACTTACCTTATTTACAATTATAGGCAATGAGTGAGTCGCCCAGATTGCGATATACCTATAGCTTTGGGTTAACCCCTCCCTCTGTTATCAAGACCATCTCTTGGACAGATTTCTGGACCACTCATAACATGGGAGCACATATACGCTCTTAAGGAGGGAGGGGATATGTTCAGAGCCCTGTACTGCGAGCGCAGCATGTATACCCTCCCACACGCCCCCCACCTGGGAACCGAGTGGGAGGCTGGGCCCAGCAGAACCAGCCTGTCGACATCAGGATATTTACAGCGCTCAGACACGTGTGTGCACCACCAGAAAGCAAACGGACCCGGTATTAGGTGAAGTACTATTTTGTACTCCACATCTGGTATTTGCTCATTTTCCAGGTGAACTCAGGCACGGCGGCTGTTGGAGGACACCCCCCACCCCCACCCCCCTCGGGTCACTCTGGAGTCCAGATGTGGACCCATGGCATCAGACAACGATGTACATCTATGCTGAGATTCAACTTTATTCTCCATTTTAATATTAAATGGCGCAGTGTTTGCCAGATTATTATCCCACTATTGCTTGTGCATTTGTCTCTTATGTCTAGTGCCTGTCATTACACAAAGCGTTTTGAAGAGCTAATTTCAAAAGACAGAAAGTCTACACTTACTATAAAAGTCATTAAATTAGCATGACAAGCATAAAGTTCCTAGGTTATAATTTGGTTATAGATCTGAAATCTTCCCTGCTTTTTCTCTCTCTTGAAGGATGAAGGCTGAAGCGAGACACTGACTCGAAGTTAGGACAATTGAGATGTTGATTGCTTAGTGGAGAAACAGGGAAGAGATGCGGGGTTCATCACCACCTTTCTGGCAGTGCAGTGGGTGACAAGAAGGAGTTCTGGTTTTCCCTCACGTCTCCCAGCAGCCAGAGAAAGGTGTGATCAGGTGGGCTTCTACTGCAACAGGTGGGAACAAA